TGCAGCCGTGTTGGGAGCGGGGCCTGTGCCAGCGGACTCCTCTCTGGCTGGGCTCCAGCACCAACTCAGTCTCTCCATCCCACAGCAAGAACCTCAACAACTCACAGAGCGAAGTGGTTTCCTTCCGGCTATCGGTGGAGGCTCAAGCCCAGGTCTCCCTTAACGGGTCAGTGTCCAGGGGAAAGGGGGCCCCGCTGGGAGTGGGGAGACTTCTAGGAAAGTATGCATATAGCGTCCCTTCCACTGTCCTCTAAAACCACCCTCCTTCTTAGTGTCTCCAAACCTGAAGCAGTGCTATTCCCAGTGAGCGACTGGCATCCCCCAGACCAGCCTCAGAAGGAGGGGGACCTGGGCCCTGCTGTCCACCATGTTTATGAGGTGAGGAGGGATAGAGGCGGGGAAGACTAGGACCAGGAGGGGTGGGGCCACAGTGAATGATAGGGAAGGAGGAGCTGAGATGAGTGACAGATGGCTGGGAGCAGAATGAGGGACGGAAAGGATGCATGGAGGGAGGAGGAGTGCTGTCAGGCCTGGGCAGGGTCAGTTGGAGAGACAGAGAGGAGGGACAGGCCAGCTGAGTGACTTGGAAGGGATTATGGAGCTACCTCGAAGGGTATTGGTTGGAGAGGATTTCGTCACTGCCCACTGATATCCTCTTTAACTTTTTTTTTAAAACTTTCTCACTAACTTTTTTAAAATATATATTTCATTGATTTTTTACAAAGAGGAAGGGAGAGAGGGATAGAGAGGTAGAAACATGGATGAGAGAGAAACATCGATCAGCTGCCTCCTGCACTTCCCCTACTTTGGATGTGCCTGCAGCCAAGGTACATGCCCTTGACCGGAATTGAACCTGGGACTCTTGAGTCCGCAGGCCGACGCTCTATCCACTGAGGCAAACTGGTCAGGGCTCCTCTTTAACTCTTGAGACAGGAGACTCGCAGCAGAGTGTAGGGACCATGGTGAGCCAGGCTCTCGATGGAGCAGGATTGTTCCCTTCCTTCTCGTGATGACTGTGCTCTCCTCTCCTCTCCTCAGCTCATCAACTGGGGCCCCAGCTCCATTAGCCGGGGCGTGCTGGAGCTCAGCTGTCCCCAGAGCCTGGAAGGGCAGCAGCTCCTCTACATGACCAGGTTTACAGGACTCAGCAACTGTACCTCCAACCACCCCCCCAACTCAGAGCACCTGGAGGTGAGAGGCCTGGAGACGGGTGGGTGGCAGGGAACCAAGGCTGAGAGGTTTGGGGAAGGTCACCGGGGGGCCTGGAAGAGCGGTATGGCTGACGGTGTGCCTGAAGCTGGGACTTAGGCCATGGAAGGGCGTGAAAAGGCCACAGACACCTCGAGGCCCTAGGCAGGAAAAAGACTCTGTTATGCACTGCACTTCCGTCATTCTGCCTAAAATCTCCCCCCCTTATTTCAGCCCTGGCACACTCTGAGTGCCCAGCTCCATGCCACCTCCTCTGGGAAGCCTTCCAGTTCTGTTCCTCTGGGCCCCAGGGGAACAGCCTCCCTGTCCTCCTGGATCAGAACCTGAACCAGATCATGGGGAGCCTTATGTTTACTCATTAATAATATTTAATTAATTGAGTGCCTTCACTGAACCCTATTATAGGCTCAGGAAACATCGCACTGAACAAAATTAACAAGGTCTCCACTCCCATGGAGCTTACATTTTAGTGGAGGGCACTAAACAATAAAAATTAAAGAGAGAGGTTAACAGGTATTGAAAAGTGATAAAAGCGCAGTGCTAACATTCTGAGTGGGAAGGGAACTGGAGGCTGACCCATCAGGGAAAAAACCTGGAGGCCTGAAAGAAAAGGAAGTGAAGACTTTGGGGAAGAGCATCCAGGAAGGAACAGCCAATGCAAAGGCCCTAAGGCCGCGACAGGGACCTAAGTATTTATTTAACATCTTTTCCCTGTAAACCAAGGACGCAGCCTTGTTCATTTCCATGTTTCACACTGGGCTTGGTGACGTGCCACCGGAGGTGGTCAGCTGAATGGATAAAAGAACAAGTAGAAGTTGTTCTGGGCCCACGTGCAGGCTGACTTAGATGCTGTAATGAGGGGGAGAGGCAGCTAACAGTCCGTCTCTTTCCTCTTCCAGCTGGATCCCGAGGCTTCCCAGAACCACAGGCTGCAAAGACGGGAAGCTCCAGGCCAGAGCCCTGCCTCTGGGCCTCAGATCCTGGTAAGTCGCCCTGGGAATGAGGTCTGGGCCCAAGCGCTGAGCACCTGTTTGAGTTCTCAAAGGGCAGAATTCCAGGTTCAGGCTTCCTCATTCTCCCCAGAAATGCCCAGAGGCCGAGTGTTTCAGGCTGCGCTGTGAGCTTGGGCCACTCCACCGGCAAGAAAGCCGAAGTCTGCAACTGCATTTCCGGGTCCGGGCCAAGACCTTCCTGCAGGTAAGGGAGCTCTACCTCAGCCCTAACCCCACCTTTGGGCCTGCCTGTTCTGACCCTCCCTGTCCCCACTGTCCTAGCTACATCCTTTGGGAAAGGGGCCTCGGGCATTCCCCCCGCCCCCCCGCCCCGCCCTTGTTTAAACAGAGCTGTGTCCTTGGCGCCACCTAGTGGCCACACTGATAAGAGTGACAGCTTCCCTTTCCTGGCCCATTCAAAGAAGGTGGTAGGGCTGGAGGGTGATCCGTGTGCAGAGAACGTAGAAGAAGAGATGGAAGATGAATCTCTAGTGGAGAGACAAGCAGCTGTAAGAGTAGTAAATAAAGAGCAGTCATTTATGAAGTGCACACTATGGGCCAGGTATTGTCCTAGTGCTTAACCCACATTAATAATGATTTTTAAAATTCTTTTTTACTTGCAGTCATCTAAATATGTATTATCTAGTTATAACTATTCAATTACACATTTATCTCCTCAGGTAAGGTACACAGAGATTCAGGAGAGAATGAGCCCAAAATAGAGAAAGATCAGAACCTGAACCAGACCATGGGGAGCCATTATGTCCTCTAGATCCCAAGGACAAGGGTGGGGGGACTGCCCTGAACACCTTTCCTCCACCCACAGCGAGAGCACCAGCCATTTAGCCTGCAGTGTGAAGCTGTGTACGAAGCTCTGAAGATGCCCTACCGAATCCTGCCTCGGCAGCTTCCCCGAAAGGAACTTCTGGTGGGTCCAGGGCCAGAGGTCTGGGCCAAGGAAGATGGGCTCAGAGTGCTGGGCCTGGCGCTAGGACGGGGACGTCGATGGGGGATGGCCTTATGATTGTAACAAATATTTATTGAGCATCTACTATGTCCTGTTCAGGGATATAATGATAAGCCTGATGGACAGGGCATCTTTACTCCTAGAGTTCACGGCCTCGCAGGCAATAAGAATACAGTGTGCTGAGGGCCAGAATACTTATGGGATCACATCATAGGGACACTTGAACACAGTCTTGCAGGGTCAGGAAAGGCTTCCTGAAAGAAGTGATGTTTAAGCTGAGGCCTGAACTACCAGGCTGACCACTCAGGGAAGGAATATTCCCTGGAGAGAGGAAACTAGCAAGTGTGAAGGCCCAAAAGTCAGCGACAATAACAGCACTTTTTAAGAATTTAAATTTTTAAGTTCAGAATTCCGTTAGCCCAAGATGCGAGGTGAGAGGTGGGTCTCGGTCCAGTGGCAAGTGGGAACCAAGTGTAGGTGGGAAGGACTAATGGCTTCTCAGTGACCTCTCCTGCCTTGCTCCCTAGGTGGCCACGGCTGTGCAGTGGACCAAGGCAGAAGGCGGCCACGGTGTCCCACTGTGGATTATTATCCTCGCCATCCTCATTGGCCTCCTGCTCCTCGGTCTGCTCATCTACATCCTCTACAAGGTCCGACACATCCTACCCTCTCATCAGGTTCTGCCCTTGACCCAGCACAATCCCAAGCATCTTCCTCCAAACCAATTCTCTAGCCACATGCCCCCACCTGTTCGCCGGCCACATCCATCCCATCCTGACCCTGCCTATAGGATCCTTCCCTTCATTCTTCAGCCCCTATCTTAGAGTCTCTTGAATCAACCTGATAAGTTTGCCTCTACTTGCAAAATCAGTGTTCCTCGCAGGTGGCAACTTTGGCATTTGTGCTGTCACTTCCTCCAAAGACCCATGGCAGCTGTCACTAATTGTTCAGACCCTAGCAGTGGCCTCAGAATCCTCCTCCAGAGGCAGCCAATACTAGGCAGTCCGACTTGGAACTTGAATTCAAACCTGTTTGCTATTCCTGGCTCACCCGGGGGCACTTTTATGGCACTGATGAAAGATCCCTTTATACCAAAGCACCCCCAGCTTTAGCCCTCCTGGCCCATTGGGCCTCTTGGAGAGGTAGGCATGACAGCCTGAATTTAGGCCACTTTTGCAAGATAGGGAGATTGTAAGCACTAGAGAGTCCTCTTCATTCCCCCTTGGCATAAGGTCTTGGGAGAAATGGAAGCCCAGTATCTAAACTCTCCCTCCTTTCCCCATCATTAGCTCGGATTCTTCAAACGCTCCCTCCCCTATGGCACCGCCATGGAAAAAGCTCAGCTCAAGCCTCCAGCCACCTCAGATGCCTGACGCCTATTCCCAGACTCCAATCCTGAAGGCTCAGTCCCCCCACCCTCAGTCTACTGACGGGGAAGGGGCTGGGTGCTTCCTGAAGGTGCTGAGGGCCAGGGAGACGCTCCTCTCCCAGCCCAGAGACATACTTGAAGGGCCAGAGCCGGGAGGTGAGGAGCTGAGGATCCCCACCCCCCATGCACTGTGAAGGACCCTCGTTTACACATGCCCTCCCCACGGACGGGGGAACTGAGATCCAGGGACAGATGCCTAGCCTCCCTGCAGCCTTTGCATTTTGGAGAGAGTTTCCTGAAAACAACTTGGAACCAGAACTGGGGAATCCAATCCCAGTTCTCTGGGCCAGACTTGCCACCAGCTCCAGCCTGCAGAGATCTGTCCACAGCCTTGCCAGAGTTCCACCAGAGGCCCCGGCTAAGAACCTGGAACCTGGGGAGTGAGCCCTGGCAGCTCTGGACAGCCCCCACCTCGGTGGGCAAATAAAGAACACTAACTGTGGATGGTGCCCAGGACCAGCTCAGGACAGATTCCAAACAAGGATCGATGCTGGCCCAGAACCAGCTCCAAGGAGAATCCGAACTCAAATGGGGCCAGATTGAACCTGGGGCCTGGGGTTGATCTGGGACCCAGACTCAGCCATTGAGAACCTAACCAGGCAGATTCAGGACAACATTTGAACCTGCACCGGACACCTGGGCCTGGAGGCCCAATCCACCTCTGACTCGGGAGAAGTCAGGAATTGCCCAGGACTCTGAAGGGGCCATGATGGCAACAGATCTGGAACCTCAGCCTGGCCAAAGGCAGGCCCTCCCAGTCCCCCAGAGAAAGGGGAGCCCACTCTCTCGGGCCTGCAGGATTTGGGTTCTGCCCGCCAGCTGCACTGACGCTGCCCTTCCTCTCTTTGCCCAACCCTCCCCTCCCCTCCCCTCGGCTCGGGACACCCGGGACTTATTTAAACTCTGTTAGCGTGCAATAAACCCGGCCCGGTGCCCCCACTGACCAGAGCTGGAATCTCTTTTATATGTTTTCCAAACCCATCCTGGTACCAGACAGCTTGGTGGGTAGGAAAAACCTGTGTTTCTCACAACTTCTTTCCACCGGGGGCCAGGATTATAAACCCCAGGAATTGGGGGACTTGTTTTGGGGTTCCCTTCTCTTAGGTGAAAGAAATGATGGGAGGAGTGGAAGAAAGACTTGACCCCTGCCCATCTCTCAGCCCCACAGGCCTGGTCCCTCACACCTCCCAGAGAGAAGGAGAGAAACCCCTTCTCCTTGAGGGTTAGGGAAGAGTGCAGAGGGGGAGGTCCAGGTTGAAGTTGGGAGAAGATGGTCCAGAAAACTCACTTGGGCTTCCCTAAATCAGATAATGAAATGGGTTGAGAGAAAAGGCCACAAAACTAAGTCAGAAGAAATCAGCTAGGGTTTTGTTTTGGTTTTTTATTGCTTATTGTATGGTGGTGGGTAGAGGGGGGTGTGTTAAATATTCTACATTATCCCTTTAATTTCTACAAATAATCCTGTGAAGTAGGTACAATTAACCCCATTTACACAAGAGGAAATTGAGGTCCAGAGAGGTTATGTAACTTGCCCAACTCACACAGTGAGTGCCAGAGCAGAGTCGAATTCGCCCTTGTCTGACAGTGAAAGCCCTCCTCCTTAACCAACATGCCATAAGGTTCAGGTCTTTGAAGAGAAATGAAAGTGAGGGAGCCCCTCAAAGTCCTCTGCCTCCTTAAGGCCTGTGCTAACATGCAGCAAGAGAAAGGAGAGGGGTGCTAAAATCTAATAGGATTGTCCATGTCATGCTAGACCAGAATTCAGCCACCAGAGGGCAGCAAAGCTACAAATTTATGGAAATTTGGGGCAGGGAGGCAATGAGGTCCATCTCACCCTCTTCCCACACCACCAGGACTCTTCTTTTTAAGGGAGAGAGAGACATCGATTTGTTGTTCCATTAATTTATGCATTCATTGGCTTCTTGTATGTGTCCTGACCGGAAACCTAGCCCATAACCTTGGTGTACTGGGACAACGCTCTAAACAGTTACCCGGCCAGGGCCAGGACTAGTCTTATTACCTTGGGCTCCTGCCTAGCAATGACTGCATCACCTCATAATCTCTCTCCTGAAAGACCAAGATTGCTCCACACTCCAATCTGTGACTTCTTGGTAATTCTGTCCCTCAGGAACTTCTTCCCAGAACCTATAAATGAAGAGGGACTAGTGGGGAAGAAGAGACCTGATGAAGTAAAGAGCCACCCAGCATTTCCAAGAATAGCAGCTGTGGCATAGCAAGGCACTGGGAATTCTCAAGGAAAGAAATCCCGTACTCCCCGCTCCTGGGGGAGGGGTGGGAGTGGCATCAGCGAAACCTCATGGGCTAGATCTGAGACTTCTTACACTATCGTGAGAAGGAAACGAAGAGGGGAAATGGGCTTTGAGTTTTGGGTTGGTGTCATGGGTCTGTGTCGGGCCTGTAGCTTCGAGTCTCAGAGAATGACAAGGTCTCTCACAATATAAGAAAGCGATTCCTTAGGCTCAGAAACGCTGCAGATGTAATCTAGCACCAGCCGCTCTGTCCCTGGACTGTCATTCTCAGGCTCTGGTCTGCTTCCCCTTCCCAATCTCCCAGCCCCTCCAGCTCTGTCTGCCTCCCACCATAGAGACTTGAGTGATCCAGAGGGACTAGGGTGGGGGACGGGGAGGCCTGGGCCCTTTCCTTGTCTGTTGGTAGAGATGGAAAGGAGGCCCTGGGAAGGGAACAGAGCAGCTGGGGGTGCAGGGAGGGGGAGGGGGCCCAGGAGAGGCAGCTGGCAGGCGGGAAGCTGATCTGGGGGTCTCAAGTTTCTTGACATCAATTAGAGCAGCCGGCCTGGGCTCATTAGTAGCCCGGGGTGCAGGGCTCATCAATAATGAATTCACCCCACACACTACACCCCCCCCCCAGCTGCCTGCAAGGTCACCCCGCCCTTTACCAGCTGCCTGCCCTTGGTAAGCTAAGCCACCGCTGCAGAGACCTCCCTAACTCAGAGTCTCTAGGGCAGTGTGGGAAGGTGGACAAGGCAAAGGGGTCTTTATCACCAATCAGCCATGCCTGCTTCTAGGAGTCCACCCAGGAGAAGAGTGGGAAGAGACAAGGAGGGGTAGATGTGGGGGGTGAGAAGCAGGCTTTGTGATGCTAGGGTTGGATGGCATAGTGGGAGGTCAGATCCAGAGCAAGAGGACCTCCTCTGATGGGCTCAGAGTCCCCACATTCTCCCCCAAGGCCAGACTTGAACAGCAGGGCCACAGTACCCTGAGATCTCTGGCCTCTAGATCAGAACAAGCTCAAGGCATTGGCAACCCCAGTATTCTCGTGCCCTTGAGTTGGAGCATCTTGGCAGGTGCAGAAACAGCTTTCCTTCAAACCAACCAGATCAGTGCAGTGAGGGCAAGAGACTGCTAAGGCTCAGAAACAGGAACTTGAACTTCCTGTACTTTAATTAGCTATCTAGTCCCAGCTTCCCTGCAGAACCCAGGAATGCTGGTCCCCATTCTCCTTCCCTTGCCAGAGTCTTCTAAGATTCCAGTCCCACCACCTTTCCACCGACCTATTCCTTCCTGCTGCCACCCTCCCTGAATCTTACGTGTTCTGATTCCCAGTCACACCTCCTTTCCCTCCGCCTGGGGTTGGCCTGATGCTGGCTGCTTGGCATTGTGGGAGGCCTCCCGCCACCCTCCTACTTGGGGCAGGTACAGACAGGTCCAGGCTGCAGCAGCTGCATCTTCCCCAGACACCTCACAGACTCACAGACTCCAGTCTTATGATGGCGTCCCAGTTGTCTGCCTTCAGCCAGGTCCCTTTTTTGGTCTTTAGGGTACACCCAGTGTCCCGTACTCCGCCCCGCCTCCGCGGACATTGTCCCCAGCCCATACATTCTGTCCTATCCTCCATCCTCCCCTCCACCTCACCAAACACCTCCCACCAGTCCTCTTCAACCCAGTTCACCTCAGTGGGGAGGGCCCTGAGTTCAGGCCCTGGATAGATACTCCTATCCCCACCCCACCCCATGTCATCCCTACAAGGTTGAGCCTCAGTTCTGGATCTTCTGGTTCCCCAATGATCTCAGTTGCCAGCTTCTATTTCCACCTTTTTGGATCCATTGATTACAGTCTGTTCACTGGAACCTTCCCTAAGGACCTAGGCATTTGGATTCCAGTCACAGATCAACTTGGCAACCATCTTCAACCCCACAGTTCACCTGAGACCCAGCCCCCCAGGCACCCTGCTCTGCAGTGAGAGAAACAAGTAGGACCCCA